ATGTCCTGAGTCAATTCAGTGTTTCCCTTTCAGGGTCATTTTGACTTTGGGGAAGAGCAGAAATCACATGGTGCCAGGTCCAGCGAATGAGGTGGATGATGGCACGTTCGTGTTGTTACAGGCCTGCCTTTCTGGTAGAAGGCACTCAGCAGCGACATACACCTTATTTTTTATCACGCCTCAGAAAGGCCCTCCTGAAAGTGGACCTCCAGAATTGCTTCAGAAAGTGTCAGGAACAAGGAAGTAAATGTGTTTGAAGTGAAGGGGAGTATTTTGAGGGGGATTGATAGCAATATGTCTTCTATTGTAATAAATTTTTAATTGAAACATTCACTGTATTTTTGGCCACCCCTTGTATCTGGGTCTTGCCCACTACATCTCTCCCATAGCAAAGCAAAGCTCCCTCTACCCCTCACCTCTGAGGCCCTGCTGCTTCTCCCTGAGGAGGGCCCAAGTCAGCCTTGGATCCCCCCACAACAAGTGCAGACCAGCCCCTCCAGTACCAGGCACCTCACAGACCCTTTCACACTCAGTTTCAAAGGGCCACAGGCCCTTTGAAACATCAAAAATCATCATCGCTATGATTTTTGCTACCTCTGTAGTCATTATATTACTATTTGTAACTCAAAGAAGGTTTGTATCTGTCACCTTCCCATTGCTGGGAGAAAATATCTGATACCCACAACTTACAAGAGGAGAGGTTTATTTAGATCACAGTTTCAGAGGCTTCAGTCCAGGGCCAATTAGCTCCAAGGCAGAGGAAAGCAGCTGTGGCATCCAGGAAGCAGACAGCAGGGAAAGAGCCAGAGAGGAAGGGGCTAGAGACCAGATATAGTCCCCAGGGTCACACCGCATTCTCCAGTTAAACCCAGCCCCTAATAGCACACTTAGCTATGAATTCATTAATGAATTAACCCATTGATGAAGTTAGCAGCCTCACAACCCGACCCCCTCTCCCAGAGTCTCTTAATCCAGTCAGATTAACAATCAAGATTGACTGTGACAGGGTTTTAGGGCATTTACAACAAAAGCACATAGCATCAGCTTCTCTATACCTCAGACATTTGCAGATCAAAAATACTTAGAAAAAATTGTGTCCATACTGAACATGTCATTATTCCCTAAACAATAAGGTCGAACAACTATTTATGTAGCATTTATATAGCATTAAGTATTATAAGTCATCTGCAGATGATTGAAAGCAGAGGTCTCCAACCTCTGGGCTACAGGACCAGTGAACGGCCTGCTAGGAATCAGGCCACAGATCAGGAAGTGACTGGTGGGCAAGGGAGCAAAGCATCATCTGTATGTACAGCAGTTCCCCCTAGTTTGCAACACTGCCTAAGCTCTGTCTCCCATCAGATCATTGGCAGCATTCAATTCTCATAGGAGCTCAAATCCTTCTGCAAATTGTGCATGCAAGGGATGTAGACTGCATGCTCCTTGTAAGAATTTAATGCCTGGTGATCTGAGGTGTAGCTGAGGCAGTGATACTAACCCTGGGAAGTGGCTGTAAATACAGATTAATACTAGCAAAGATGTTTGACTGCACAGGGATCCTAATAAATCAACTGCTTGCAGACTCATATCAAAACTATCTATGAGTGGCAAGTTACAATCAAACTGCATCTGCTGGGGGGCTTTACAGTGGCAAATGAGTCGATGCATTTCAATTGTACAGCCAAACTGGTAGCAGCCTTTAAGTCAGAATCTGATACTTATTTTAGTTCACGTGTGCCTTGCCTGTTATTTTATCTACCTCTTCCATCCATTCCTCTTTCCCGCACTGTACACTTGTCTCAGTCACAGGTTTGGTAAGCCCATGAGTTAACTCTAGCCAAAATGAGGAAAACAAACACCACTGGAGCACTTCTTTGAAAAGGGGAGAAGACCAGTGATCATACAGCAAGAGACTCTAAGACTGCCTACAAAATAAAGCTTCATTTAAAAGAAAATACCAAGAGTCTTATTCACATTACAGGTTCACTGAAACAGGTGATTCACATTCTGCAAGACTGCTTTGTATAAAATGTGGCAGCCAGCTACCCAACAAAGCCACGAAACCTTTAAAACAGCTTTGGCACATGGAGACTAAGCACTGTGCATTAAAAAGACAAGTCTTTGGAGTTTTTCAAAAGAAATACATATGAACACAAAGAACTGAGGCAATTACTGAAGGCCACTACTTTATCAAATGTGTCTGCACTGACAGCGTCATTCTTAGTGGTTAATTGCCTTGCCGAAGCCAAGAAACCCTTACTCTTGAAGAAGAGTTGACCTGCTTGCTGCTAGGGACATTTATCCTGAGCTTCTAGCAGAGGCTGCAGTTCAAACGATGCCACATGTTCCTCTTTCAGCTAGCACCATAGCTAGATGAATAATGAACTGCCAGAGGGTACTGAGGCACAACTGTTACAGAGGATTAATGAGTCAACGTTTTATGAAATCCAAGTTGAGGAGTCTACCAATGTTGAAAACAGGGAAACAATGTATTTGTGTGATATACCCTTTCAGGAGGATGTGTGTGAAATGTTATATGCATGTTGTTGCCAACCATCACCACAGCTGCAGAACTATTCAAGACTTTGGATGACTATGTATCAGGAAAACTACACTGACCACTGTGTGTGGGTAGATACATGGTCCGTGCTGCCCAGGTTTCTAGTTTTATTACCAAGGTCAAAGAAGTTGCTTCTATACACTGTAAATCTACACACTGTCATCCATATAAAAATGATGGCTATCTGAAAAATGTGACCTGAACTTAATGTTTTGCACGATTTGATTAAAATTATCAACCACAATAAAGTCCGTGCCCTTAGCTCGTGTCGTTTGCACAGTTCGGTGAAGAGATGGATACAGAGCACACACATCTTCCCTTATACCCAGGAGTGAGGTGGCTTTCACCAGAGTTTTTGAGTTATGAGAGCCATTCCAGAAATCTTTTTTAGAAAAACACTCAGCACTAGCAACACATTTCAAAGACAAAGAAACTGGTTGCAAAATGTGCTTATTCATGTGACATTCAACTAGCTCACCAAACTCAATCTGTCACTTCAGGGGAGAACCACAACTGTGTTCAAGTTGACATATAAAGTGGATGCATTCACAGCCAAATGGAATTATAGGGGCAAAGAGTGAACACTGGGATTTTTGACATGTTTCACATATTAGCAGAGATTTTGAAAAAAACTGAGCCCGCGCCTTCTTTCTCCCTGCTGATGCATGATCACCTATCTCAGCTTTCAGAAGAGTTTGAACGTTACCTTCCAACCACCAAAGACCCCTGAACTTGGAAGGAATGGACTGATGACCCAACTGTGAATAAGCCAGGTGAGCTAACTTCTCTTCTATGCTAGAAGAGAATCAACAACCCAACAAAGGAGGAAACCTTCAAAACCGCTTTGGCACATGGAGACTAAGCACTCTGCATTGAAAGACAAGCCTTGGGGGTTTTTCAAAAGAAAAAGATGTGAACACAAAAAACTGAGGCAATTACTGAAGGTCACACTTTATCAAATGTGTCTGCACTCACAATAGCATTCTTAGTGGCTAACTGCATTTCTGAAACCAAGAAGCCCTTAAGACTGCAAATGATGGTGGCCTTAAAAGTGTGTTAGAGGCTGGGGATGCGGCTCAGCGGCACAGCGCCTGCCCAGCAAGCATGAGGTCGTGAGTTCAATTCCCAGTACCAAAAAAAAAAGTGTGCTAGGACAACTTTAAATCTCCATACATTCAGGATTATAGTTAAGGCAAAATATCCTGAGGTTACCACAGAAATGCCGGAAAGCCTGCCTCCATTTCCAACATCCTGTTTTTGTGAAGCGGGGTTTTGTGCAGTGAGAACAACCAAACTGAGATTATGAAGTAAACGGATCATCAGTGACAAACTGTGGGTGTTACTGTCACATTATCCACAGGTGGCATCTCTAGTTGGAAGAAAATCTCAGGGCTCCCGTGATTCTGCATTTTGGTGAGTTATCATAATAATAGAAATAAAGTACACAATAAGCAAGATGCGCTTGAATCATCCTGAAACCAACCCCCTCCTCAGTCTGTGGAAAAATTGTCTTCCATGAAACCAGTCCCTACTGCCAAAGAGGGTGGGGACCACTGATTTAAAGAATAGAAGAGGAGTTCCTTCGGCTCATGAGGGTGATGATTGGGTGTTCATGCTGTATGCATGAGCTGTGCCTCCCTCAAACCTTGTTACGACACGGACACATTACCCATCTGACATGGGAAAAGAAGAATACAGGAGGATGTGTGTAATTTTTATGCAAATACTGTGCTTTATGTATATGAGACGGGCACATCCAAAGATTTTGGTACCTTCAGAGGGTCCTAGACACAATCCCCATGCACCGAGGGACAGCTGTATATGCATAGTAAAACAGTAAGTTAGGTAACAAAAGATGTGGGAGTGACTTTGTCAGAAAGCCAAGTTTGAAGATAATTACTGCTTCCAACTACAACACTGACCTCTGACCCTGGGGCCCACGAGCGCTGCTGGGGACCCAGGTGCCCGCACACCTGTTCCTTAGTCAGGACCAGACCTCCCTGGTCATGAGTGCAACAGGACTTTGCTCTGTTGCCCACCTCTGTCTTCCCCTGCATGCTACTGTCTGGTCCCTTGGGCTCCAGATCTAGACTGAGTCCGGCCTGGGGGATTGGGAGGGAGGGGCCCATCCTGTTATGGGCGCATCGAAAAACGAGAAGAAAGAAGCTGTAAAACAAATACCCTCCCCAGGACAGAGCCCACGAGGCTCCACCACCCCCCACCCAGCAACGCCTGGGCTTATGGGCAGGGGCAGTTTTCCCTCAGGCCAGCCCACAGTATCAGGCTCACAGAGGTGGCTGGGAAAAGGAAAGAAGAATTTCAGGCTGTGCGGCAGAGGTGGGAAGAAGGCGACCAGAGCAGGAGGCAGCAGGGAGAGAAGCCATTGAAGCCCAGCCTGGCCAGCACCCGGTCCGCAAAGCCCCTTCCCTGGCAGACTCACCCTCGTCACAGTTGCTCCCGGTGAAGCCAGGGCAGCATCTCCACTCCAGCGCCGTCACCGTGCGGTAGGACACCCTGTATGTGGGTCTGATGAGAGTCCTGTAACTAACACAAGCGCAGTGTCAGGGGGTGCAGGCTCCCAGCCACCCCAGACCCACTGCTGCCAAGACGGCCACACAGCTCTGCCCACCCCGGGCTCTGGGTGGGGGGCACCCAGACAGTGGACCAGTCACCAAACTCCACGTTCACTGGCCATGTGACCTAACAGTCCTTCTACACCTCTCCAAATGTGGCCACCTGTTGTGGTAAATGTCCTGCACACCGAGCAAGATATGAATATGGAAAAGAAGAATATCATTAAAACCTGCAAAACTTCCAGACACCCTCACCTCACAAACTCTTACCTTTTCCCGGGCATTAATCCTTTTGCTTGATTGGTCTAATGAGTACTTACTGTGCAACTACTTTGTGACATCCTGTGGTCACAGTCATAAAACTGAGTCCACATCCCTGGGCAGTGGGACATTTCAACGACATCTCCAAACACATTAGTGAGATGCTTACAGCAATAGAAAGCTCCTGCAGCTGGGCATGGTGGTGCACACTTGTATTCCCAGTGTTCTGGGAGACTGAGGCAGGAGGATTGCAAGTTCCAGCCTAGTCCAGGTAACTTAGAAAGACTCTGTCTCAAATAAAAAGTGAAAAAGGACTGTGTGAAGGTCCTAAGTCCAATCCCCACTACCACCAAAACACACACACACACACACACACACACACACACACAACTCCTGCTTTTAAAAAATTTAAAAATGAAGCATAAGATTTAAAATTAAAAACATAAATACATAAAAGTTAAAATAAATCTTCCGACAGCTCCTGCAAAATACTGTGGATCCCCATGGTTCTACAAACCAATGTAGAAATCCCCCAAGTGAGCTTTCTGAGATGGGGTCTCACTGTGTAGCCCAGACTAGCCTCAAATCTTCAATCCCACTGCCTCAGCCTCCCAAGTGCTGAGATGACAGGCGCGCACCACGACACCCAGCTTGGTTCTTACAAATAAGTTTCATACTATTTTGTGAAACACCAAGAAGAGTAGACATGAAATGTGCAACCGAATCTCATAAAGGGGTGCACTCTGCTTTTCTTATTCACTTTATGTGCATCATTATAACTTCGCTGCTTGATCGCAAAGTTTGCACAATGTCCCCTTTAAAACGAAACAACACAGGGCCTGGGGGTTTAGCTCAGTGGCAAAGCCCCTGCCTGGCAAGCACAGGGTCCTGAGTTCGGTTCCCGGTACCGGAGAAAAACAAAAAACAACAACAAAAAAAACAAGTAAAAACGAAACAACATGACTTCACATAGTTAAATCGGACACCGAGCAAATTAATTGCTGAATGGGAAAATGATGAATTAATTGGGAGCAGCAGGCGCTCCATCCAGAGGTGCCCTGTTGACGGGAAAACGCGGGAGTCGCACAAATATCTAAAATTGAATCTCAGAAGTATCGCTGTGATTCTGGAAAATCCCGTTCTACTAATTTCTCTTCTTGAAAATAATAATAATAATAAATGCCTTCAACTGAGTACTCCCTTACTGAGTACCAGGCACTGTGTTATGCAGAGCAGCCCTAACAAGTGGATGCCACTGTTTTCCCCAGTATACAGATGGGGAAACTGAGGCACAAACAGTTAAAAGACTTTCTCCAAGTCACAGTGCTGGAAGGCAGTGGAAGTAGGATCCAAATACACAGAATCGGTTCCTGTATCTGGTCACTCTAGTGCATTTTTGTTCAGTGCGGGGGAAACACTTTTCCTCCCAGCAGCTGTACAAGGATCCTGATATTAACCCCTGAACTCAAAGGAGAACGCATCCCCCAAAACACTCTCTTCCTGCCCCGGATTCCCAGGCCAGAGAGCTGCAAAGCAAGCAGGTGGCAGGCTGGGGCACGCCAGTAGGTGGCGCCACTTCACCAACCAGCAGGCCAAAGCTCAGCTTGGTAGACCCTTGGGTGCCACCTGGGTGCAGATAAGTTCAGAGGTGGTGGCCCATCACCCAGCCTAGGTGAGATCTGGAAGGAACTTCACCTTCCCACATCGATAAAAAAAGTCCTAGCCCTGCCTTTGGGATCCAGTTGGCAAACTTACTAAAATGCAGATCCAGTTTGGTAACTGTCCACTCTCCAAACCTTCCATGGCTCTCATAGACTAAAGACCAAATCCTTCAAGTTAGCTGATAAAGCACTGCCGAGCTTCCTCCCCTCCCCTCCTTCTACCACCAGCAGCAGGGCTGCTACCACCATCGTAGCACAAGCGGCCTGGGGTGTGATGGTCTCAGCCTCTGTGCCTTTGCACACACAGGCTCCTCTGCCTGCAGGCCCCTCCTCCTTCACTCTGCCTGAGAAAAGCCCAGGGAGCTTTCCGAGTTTTACTCAAATGTTCCCCTGTCCCCAGGGCAGAGTCCGCAGGCTCCTTCCCCGTCCCTTTCCGCACATACATCTTATAAAGAGCTTTGTTATAACCCAGCACTCATTCATTCACTCAGCAAACAATTGTCAAGCCTCTTTGTGCAGGCAGCAGGGATATAAGAAGGAACAAAGCAAGCGTGGACTCCACTCTACCACAGCATACGGCTGGAGGGATGAAGGGGGCACCAACACAAGCCACAGAACTGCACATGTGAACCTGTGACCCACACTGGGATGTACTATGCAGGAAGGCACTGAATTCACTGCTCATTTTTATTAAAATATAATTTACATGCAGTAGAGAAGATAAACCTAGTGTTCAGCTTAGTGAACTTTTATCTGTTTCTCCACCAGCATTCCTATTCCTTCAAAAATCCTTCTCCAAGCCAGGCTTGCTAGAGGGAGATCCATCACAGGCAAGTTCGAAGCCAGCCTGGGCTACATTGTGAGTTGAAGCCCAGCCTGAACTACACAGTAAGACTGTTTCAAATCAGTCTCTCCTGCCAATTCTCCGACTCTACGGGTAAACTTTGTTCTGACATCTTTCTCCAGGAATTAGTTTTGCCTGAGCTAGAACTTCACATAAAAGGAATCAGTCCTACCTTGCATACTCTTCTGACTTCTTTCACTCACCTATTATGTCTGAGATTCATCCATATAGTTAAATGTATTGATATATCTGTCCCTTTTTATTGGTAAAGAATATCCACTTTTAAATGACACATGAATATTTGAAATTTGTCCATATTTTTGTTGATGAACATTTGAGTTTTTCCAGTTTTGAGCTATGATGAGCAAAGATTCTATGAACATTCTGTACAAGTCTTTTTGGACATGGGTTTTCATTTATCTATGATATATGTTAATAATAGAATTGATTGGCCAGAAAATAAATAGATATTCAGTTTTCTTTTCTTTTTTTCTTTCTTTCTTTCTTTCTTTCTTTCTTTTTTTTTTTTTTTTTTTGGTACCAGGAATCAAACTCAGGACCTTGTACTTGCCAAGCAGGCACTTGTACCCCTGAGCTGATATTCAGTTTTAGTAGACACAACAAACAGCTTTCCAACATGTCTGGGTGAACCTGCTTATGTGCTGGGCAACAGCTTGTGAGAGTTTAAGTTGCTCCACATCCCTGCCAGCATTGGGTTTTGTCAGTCATTTGCACTTAATCATTCTCAAGTATGTGTAGTAATCTTTCATTATGGTTATTTGCAATTCCTGTTGACTAAATAAGGCTGGGTCTCTTTTTTATATTTGTCATTTAGATATCCTCCTTTGAGCAGTCCTGTCCAAGTTTTGTACCCTTTTAAATTGTATTTTGTGTCTTTTTCTTGTTGATTTGTGTCTTGATCTGTGTGATTTCTATTTTTCTTATTTGCTCATAATACATATTCATATACAAAGAAGAATATATTAAAAGAAATATACAGTCAACTATCTGCATCTGCAATGTCTAAAACTGTAGGTTCAACTAACTTCCATTGAAAATATTCAGAAAAAATTACATCTGTACTGAACATATACACAGTTGTTCTTGGTGTTATTCCAGAAAGACACATCCAAGAGTCTCCCTTCTTTAAAACCCTCAGGAAAGGCAGTGTAAGGACAAAGGGAGAAGATGGCTGTCTGCAAACCAGGAAGAGAACCCTTGAGAGAAATGAAATTGGGCAGAAATTGGGTCTTGGACTTCCTGCCTGCAAAGTTGTGAGAAAATAAATTTCATCTTGTCTATGGTATTTTTCTGGCAACATGGGAGAACCAATATAAATACCTAGGAGTAAATTCCACAAAAATCCATACACTGATAAGAAAAATTAAGCAAGACCTAAATATATGGCAAGTTATACCATGTTCATGGATAAGAAGACTCATGGTTATTAAGGAATCAATTTGCTACAAATTGAATCTATAGATTCAATGTAATCTTGATAAAAATCCTAATGCCTTCTTTTTGCAAAAATTATGAAGCCAATTATAAAATCTACAAGAATGCAAGCAACATACAATAGCTGGAGGCCACATAGCAGGCAGGCACAGTCAAAAAACTGCACCATCAGGAAATGGAAAAGCCAGCCACTAACCTCCTTCCCCCACCCCAACAGCATGTGGGTGCCCCCACTGGCTGCCACCTGCCTCCCACCTAGATAAATTGAAAGGTCAGATGAAGCTTGTTGCATTACCCTAAGAGAAGATTTGCTTGTTTTTGTTTGTTTTCTGGTAGTACCAGAGGTTGAACCCAGGGCCTTAAACTTAGTTACATACTCAGCCCTTTTTAATTTTTCTTTTTGTGAGACAAGATCTTGTTAAGTTGCTGAGTTGCCCCAGCTGGGCTCAAACTCAGGATCCTCCTGCCTCAGCCTCCCAAGGTGCTGACATTACAGGTATGTATCACCACACCCACTTAGTGTGCCACTAAGGAATACTTCCAGCTTTCTTAGTATGACTGTGAGGACTTGGAAGACGTGGCAGTATCCATTTTGGTCACCTTCCTGTTTGTTCCTCCCCCAACTCAGAACTCCACCAGCCACATAGGGGCTTATACATCTGCTCTTTCCTCTGTCCCAGATGCAAAGCAGTTGCAACGCAGCCCCCAGAGCTCAGCAGAAGTGCCTCCTCCTCCAAGAGGCCC